TCCATGACAACCCTAAATTGGACACAGTACGATGGTCTTTCTAACAAAAACTGACTTTGCTCTAGCCTACTGCCTTACTTCCAGGGAAGACGTGCAAGAAGCTGGATGATAAACTCTGAAGCTCTTCCCTCACTCCTAAACCAATCAGGATATATAAGATTCCAACTGTAGAAAGCCCAGAGAAGCTTCTCAGGAAGAACCATTTAGTAAATAAAATAAAACAAACAAACAAAAGAGCAGCCACACCTGACCTGGAATTTACTCTGGTTTTCCTGTATTCGTGAAACAGCACAAAACCTGTGCCAACAGTTGCATAGTTCATGTTTTTACTTTAGTTTTACTCAGTTAAAATGAACAAAAAACCCCACCACCAAATGCCCCCCAAAACACAAAAGCAAAAACTCCAAGCAACAAAACAAAACCAAACAAACAAAATCCACCAACCACCCAACTCATTACTTAAAAATAAAACCTGACTCCACTTAGCTACTTCAGTCCTACTTTCTGTGTAACTAAAACCTGTTTTTCCTAAGAAGCAGGGAGTCAGGATGGGCCTCAAGTACTTAAACCACTCAGGAGTTTCTATAGCCACAATCAGGCCAAGTAGCAGACAGCAGTATTCTAAGACAGAACTATTCAGTGAAACAAGCAGCATCACAACAAAAATGTCTAAGCCGAATAATGAACAACGGCCTCTTCCAGAGCAGTGTTTTCATCCCAGCCCTTTCAGCCAAAAGGCAGGCTCAACCCACAGTCCTGCACAACCAACAACAATCCAAACCTTCCAACTCTCTTTACCTTTCCTTATTATCTTTCCACCTTCGTTCACGGGGGCTCTTTAACAGCCAATGCGTATCTTGTAACTCGTGTTTTTTTCCTCACACAATCCTGTAATGCAGATGCTGAAAAAACCCATGTAAGATCTGGTTTCTGCAGAAGGGACATGCAAACCACATTAGACAGGAATTCATTGTTCAGGCTTCCAGCACTGCTTTTTAATATCACCCTTCTTAGATGCAGGCACTGACAGGGCCATAATGGGATTCTTGGTGCCAGTTCAGGAGAGATTTTCCTTGATATGATTCTTCGATTTCATGTTCCTACACTTGATTGCTTTGTTAGCATTGACAGGCTGTTGGAAAAATCCTGCCAAAGATTCCTAGCCCACTTTTTAAAGAGACTCACAGAACTGAGAACGCGAAAGTAAGTCTCCGTGTTGTCACACCCAAATAAAGGCATTTCAGGGTATTGAAACAGTATAAACTCCCCCCCCCCCCAGTAGATAAGCAATGGAGAATATTGACCACATCCACACATTTGCTAACAAAATTAAGGCAAGGAAAAAGTCATCTGGCTGAGAAACACATTTACCATGGAAGCCATTAAGATGCCCTGAGCTGTTAACAGTGCTTTTTCTCAGAGAAACGAACTTTTGGTTTAACTGATTTGAATTCTCCCAAATCAAAACTAAAGGCACAGTAACAAGTGTTTGTAACCTGTTTCCTTCTGCCCACCAGAACCAGTCCAAGAAAAGCCTACCTCCTCTTCAAAGGCTTAGGGCAGCAGATCAGTTCTAGAATAGGAACAGTCTCATTTGCTTAAATCAAACTACCTTGCTTTATATGCAACAGGTGAGGAGTGTTAGAAGATGCAAAGGATTAGCTTAATTTATAATCTGGTGAATAGGTTGGTCCACTCAGCTCAGCCTTTTACCATTAGGAAAAGCACCACCAAGGGCATCCTCAGAATAAAATGAAAATAACGTTTTCCAGTTTGGCAAAAATTCATAATACAATCCTATAATAATATAAAACCAAACGTTGATAACAGTTTACATGCACTCACCTGATTGTAAGCCCTCAGCAGTGCAACATGACTGAAACGAGTCCACAAGTCTCTCATCAAAAGAGCAGCCAAGCCAGAATGCCTGCCCAGTGCTACACACAGCACAAACTGTGGGAATCGAACTTTGAGGTATTTTGGAGCTGGCAGCTCCATACAACCTTGATCTGTAGAAGCCCTGCAGGAGGCAATGTGCACAGCCCCGACACCTGCCATATTCTTAGCTCAGCAGATCAAACTCAAGAGCAGGTAGCTTTGCTTCTTTCTTTACCAAAGACAGCAAGGGCAGCTCCCCATATTTGCCCTCAGCTAGCTGTCCTTGCCTGTAACTTCAGCCAGCCTTCCTAAGCTGTGCTCCTCTTCCATCTCCACCTTATTGCAGAGTATCCAGGGAAGAACAAACAGCAGTGTCAGTGGCTTTCCCCCACATCTTTCCCCTCTCCTCCTGTGACAAGCTACTCCTCTTAGGGAGAAAAAAAAAAGTCATCCTTTCCTCCACAGAGCCCTTCACATCCTCCCAGCCAAGGAGGCCCCATGGATCTTCCCAGCTAACACCAGCCCCCCAGTATTAGCTCAGCACACCCATTGATTTGTTACCCCAGACTCCAGTACTACCAGCTGCCTTCTCTCATTGCCAAGGAGCACATCAAAACAGGTGCAAATCTCTCATAAACAAGAGGCATGATTATTTTTTTTTCCACACACACAAAAAAAAGTCAGTTTATTTGCAGCAGCATTCCTTTTGGATTGGAAGCACCCTTTTTGCCTCTAGTTGGAAGGACAGCAAAAGTTGGTGAGCAGGATACTGTCCATTTCCTAAAATGGATCAACCTAACCTTTCCCCAATCTTGGGGAAAACACTTCCTGTGAACTCTCCAAATAAGCCACTTAGCAAGCATCTGAAGTTTTATAATCTGACATACTACATACATTATGCCAAATGTTAACCAATTCAAAAATCTAAAGGGAGTGAAGGAAGTAGGGAAAGTAGAAAAACTGTCATAGTTTCTGTATAAGGAAGGAATTCATACTGGGAGAAAAAAAAAATGCTGCTGAGAGGAAAGACTTGACAATGCCAAAGCTACCTTTATGTTAAACTAGCAGACAGTACTGAAAAATATTCAACTTTCAAAGAATAAAGAATAGAGCTCTATGAAACAGCAGATTTGTGGGTTTGCTTTTTTAGATTTATTTAGTAGCCAGACTAAGAGTTAACCATTGAAGCAGATTTTCTTTGTTTTTACTCTTCATTTATTGTGTATATCCATTACAGTACATCTTTTTTACATGAATGACTAAAGACTTTTGAAATTCACTTATTTTCAAAACATTTTACTTTCAGAATAGCAAAAAATACTCATGAAGATTAGCCATAAGACAACTTATTTAATTTGAATTCAAAGAGATGTAATGCTGAAATGCTCAGAACTAACCATAATCTATACATAAAGCTCCACATCTCATGAATGGGGCTGTGGTGTATGAACTGAAAAAAAGAAAATCTTGCACTTGTATCTCCATGCTCAACAGCCACAAGTGACTGCCTCAGAGTGTAACTTACTCATACTCAGTAGTCACTCAGTCACGTCCACTGGTATTGGGCAGCTGTCACAAACAAGTGGATACACAGAAAATGTACAGGCTGTATTTAATACTGGTGATACTGATTGCATTGTAACTGTACAATAAGCTTACCATAACCAGTTTGGCAAATTCTGCAACAAATATATCAGTATAGTTGCTCCACTGGACCACTTGCTCAAACGGACAGGAGGCATTTAGAACCAGAATCTGCATCAAATCTCTCATCTACAAGTTCCAACCCCGACTTTCACTAACCATTTAATCATTTTTTCTTTCTCTAAAACTAACCTGTGCAGTGGAAAACATTTTAAGTTTCAAAACAAAAGTAGTATCAGTTTCATTAGTAATTTAAAATGACAAGGAACTACTGCAGACAATCAATATAAATACAGTTTATTTCCAATCATTTTCCTAATTGACATGCAAACTAGTTTATATTAATAAAAGCAGAAACAGCTTGGTTAGTTTTTAACCTGAGCATTATTGCTGTACAGCTGAAGTTACACTGGTCAATATTATGTTTTCACTTAGAGACATGTGGTTAGTTAGGCATTGAAGACTTCAGGGACTTTCCACAAAGAAGTATTTATCTATTCAGTAGCCTCTCTGCTGCACTCATCTACATGAAACGTTTCATCTGTTAATCCCATGTCTGAAGACCATATTCTTCAGAGCACAGCAGTCAGGAGAAAGTAATTTGGAAATACAACAAATATAAAAAGATAACGAGTAACTAGCAAGTAATACAAGATTACAGCAGTAACTGCAGTATTTTCCCGTACAATTTCAAGATAGAATACTGAAGCCTTAAATAATTCCCACATTTTAGCACTGGTACAGAACTTATACAAAGTATATAAGCAGGGGGAAAGCTACTTTGCAAGAGGTAGAAAAGGTTTTATAAAATCTGAGGCACAATTCTTAACAACCCTTTAAAAGCTATCAATTACAAAGTAATAATGACCATTATACATGTAATCTGTATAAGCCTTTATTTTTACCCTTTGGAATGAAAGCGTATTTCATTTACTCTCATATAATTTTTCTCTCCTATACTGTTTAAAGACTATTTTTCTCCTATAGCATGTGTGATTACAGAAGTTTTACAGACTTTCAGGAAGTCTTACCACAAGGGGCTTACAGCAAAACGAATGCATTATTACTTAACACTTTTTCAAAAGGAGCACGGCAATGCAAACACTGTTTGCGTAGGTTTGTGTATCAAAGAACAGAGAAACACACACTCAAAATCCTTAAAATTCAAGTTCTTTTGGTTTACTCCCCTCAATACAAGAAGAAAATGGTTTCAGAAGTGAACTTTTCCCAAACACAAATTTCCACAAATGTAAGCTTTACAGTGCAATGGTTATACTCAAATTTTCACAATATTCATAAATCAAAATACTGAGACCACTACATCTACCATGAACAGACATTCACAGAAAAATTTTAGTGTCAGTTCCAACAAATGCCTTCTTCGAGCTGAAGTACGTAAGGCTTTACTGGTAACAACTTCTTATCGAAGATTTGCTTTATTCCTCTCATAGCATCTTCCCCCTTCCCCCCCCCCCCCCGCTCATTTTACTTTTTGTCTTGGTCTTTTTCTGCATCCAGAAGTGCTGAACGGATTCCTAGCTTCTTCAGCTCTTCTACGAGATCTCCATTCTGATGCATCTGGAGGAGTATGTCGCAGCCACCAACAAATTCACCATTGAGGTATACTTGTGGGATGGTAGGCCAGTTGGAATAGTTTTTTATTCCTGCATAAGAGGAAAAAAAAAGAAAAGAAAAAGAGTATTAAAAGTTTTCTACCCTCTTCAAACAGTACAGCATTTTAAACAGAATACATTGCTTCCACCTCAAAATACTACTGATATTTTCATTTCTTTCCAGCTGAGGCAAAAATTTATCTATGGAACAGGAGCACTATCAGAAAAACTACATTACAGTTAGGTTGGTCCTCACTCCAACTTAAAGATGTGGCTGAAAGATATAGCCAGCTCCTACACTGACTTCAAACAGGAGCTGGTAAAATGTAGTTCCTCTTTTCTCTCCCAGGAAACAAGCAAATACAATTTTCCAATAAATTGAATGAGAGATATTGGAAAATATTGGGAACTGTTTACATTCAGTTATCCTTTATATTTCCCAAAGAGACTTCAAAATACTTTATGTGCTTACTGAATTAATACAGTTATATTTACTACTGCAATTTCAATTGCAAGACACATTCACCCCTCTGGTGGCCTTACGAATTTCAAATTGCTTTATCTTTCACTGCCAGACCTTACAGCCCATGGGAGGGGCACAAAGGCTGAAAGTCTCTTTGTAAGTACCCATTAAAAACTGAGCTCGACGCACAGTTATGAAGTACACAAGTAAAGTTTATACTTCTCAGAAGACAAATGCAAGACCATCCAAAAATACTAACTGATTAGCAAGTATAAACCAAATCCTGACTTGCACTTAGGCATCACAAAAAATTATACAGAAGAAGCATTATATCTAACTTGCCACTTCTTAAATGACGCTTCACACAAAGTCATTATTTCTATAGCAGAGGAAATAGCCAAATTCTACATCTGCATGCCCTCACACCAAGCCCACCAGTACTTGCTAAAGATACCAAGTTTTGAATTAACATCTTTATACATTTTCAGTACGCAATACCTGGAATTTTTCTACCAAAAGCACAGAAGCCCATATAGCAAATTTAAGCCTGCAGACAACAAAAGTGCCTTTGCAGATCATCAGAGCCCATTCACCTTGGAAGTCAGCCCTCTAAAGAAGCAAGTACAAGCTTTAGTACAGGCTGTCAAAGTACTAACAGCAAATATTAGACCTGTACAGCAGAAAACACAAAGGAATTTACTTTCCCCTTAGAAAACATTTTAACCTCTGAAGAGTCTAAAAGTAAACCCCAAGATATATGAATTAAAAAATAACCATATAAGCAAATTATGCTTACTTTATTGGAACTCAAAACACTTGAAAGTGTTATATAAATATATATACATGCACAAGTGCATCAACATGTGATTGGATTATTATTTTAAATATATAAAATATGAAATAGAGCTAATAATTCCCCTTAGTCAAAGGGGAATTGGCCAATCCCCCTTAGTGTGTTTAAAAAAACCACTAAAATAGTAACCTAGGGAAAAAAAAGGAAAAAAGAGTTCCTAACCACAATTTAACATATTTAACACAGGGCAAGTTTCAGCAATTGAACTGTAACAACCTGAAAACAAGGTGTTTCAATAGACACAAGAAAGAAACCAACCAGCACTTCAGACCTGCCTGAATCACCATCTCTCCGATACACTGCTCTTCCTACATATATGTATAAGCATACATATACATAGTAAGTTAAGTTCATTTAAGCACATTTAAGTTACATTCAGGCCCTCAGTGACATGGTTTAGTGGTAGACTTGGCACTCCTGGGATAAAGGTTGGACTTGATGATCTTAAAGGTCATTTCCAACCTATTTGATTCTATGATCTAATACAAAGCCGGTGACCAACTCACATACAGTAATCTCCTTATAGATCAATCTTTAATTGATGTATTTGGTATTTTTACAGCTAAAGGTTCAGCATCCCCTCATTAACCCCACATGCATGCAATGCAGACTATGTTTACAGAGAGGGTTTAGGAAAGTGTCTCACTCTGCATATCTAACTTTTCAGAACCTGAGGCCAGATCCTGGAGGAGACTAAGAGTCTGCAGCCAGTCACTGCTAGTCACACTTGGCAATTTACAGAGCTTCAGCTTCCAGTAGCCCTGCCCCCTCCTCTGTCAGAGATCGCCATCCAACAGAAGCAGGCACATACTGGCCTATTAGGGTGCAGTGGGTAACACAGTTGAATCAGTAAGACAGCCTCCTGGCCTTGAAAGGAGTTCCCCAACTCTTCAGCACTCCAACCCTGGTACTGGCTCTGTCACTCGCCTCACAATACAACAAACTATATCAAGTCATGCACCCAGCAATGCGATTTATAAATCAAGCTGTCTCTCAGTGCAATCAGACAAGTGTCAAAGCTGGTTTATAAGTTTATTGTAGTAAACCGTACAATTAATAAATTCGGATAGGTAAATAAAGCTTAAAAAACTACCATGACTTGCTCAACTGCCAAAGGTAGTAGATTTACTTGAACAAAAACAACATTTACAAAAAACATCATTATACCCAAATTCCAATACTTAAGCTTTTATACCATACCACCTATTACACCTTTGAATTGCACGGATTGGAAAAATCAGCCTTTCAGCTAAAAGCTACTGAAAAACTCAATTAGTCAAATGATACCAAAAACACCGGAGAAGGAAGTCACCAGATACATTCCAGCATGTGGCTTTAAAGCACTATTTTGTATGTTCTGGACACTGTTAACGCCATGCACCTGCAAGACTAGCTACTATGTAGCCATTTCGGTTTGTTTGGGTTTTAAAACTTTCTCAAATAACCACACAAAACCTCAACAGTCAGCTATGCACACAGAAGAGGGAAAAGAGGAAAGGCATTACAAAAGCAGAGTATTAGCTTTCTACAACTGACAAAAAATGTACATGAAATAGCTTCTACCACTTGAGCAGTAATGGGGAAAATGTGCAAGTGATTAGCATAATTTTGTACTTTATCAAAGGAATCCCACAGTCTGTGCCAGCAGGGAATCAAGAGGTACAGTCCAAGCAATTAATGAAATTGCACCACACTGTTGCAAGGGAAGATGAAATCCGTAACTATTTTAGGGGTCTTTTAATGCAGCTCTGTATCTGTTAACAAGGCAAGGCAGCATGGCATGAAAAGCCTGATCACGCCCCTAAACGTAACTGCATTGGGCTGATAACCAAGACGCTCTTGGATCCAGTAAGGGTAACACAAACGAAACGGGACATCCAGAGAAAGCAACCTCAGTAGTACATCTGTATGATATGCTTCAAACTCCACAAACCTACCCTGGCACGTAGCCCATCAGGGGTTACAAAAGCAACCAAACACAACAACTAAGGAAAAGACAAAACATCAAACAAGAAAGTGAGCAAAACCAAGCTATGCCCGTGAGAAGCAAGCAGAGGCTGCCACACAGAGCTCCGCAGGGCATCCGACCAGCCTACGGGAAGGCCAAAGCTCTCGAGGTAACCCCGGCAAGGCTGCACAGGCCGGGGCCTCCCGAGGGGCTGGCCGAGAGTAGACCAACACTCCGTGGCTCTGGCTCTGCCCCGTTAACAGCGGCCTTACGCAGAGAAAAACAAGGGACTGGCTCGGGTTATGTGTCAGCCCCGGCAGCGGGGGAGAGAGCACCCAAAGGTGACCCCCTGCAGCCGCTGCTCCCGGCCCCATCCCCGGCCCACCGCTGACCTTGGCGGAGGTCGGGGTCCTGTAGGACGTCGTGGGCGCGGTAGTCCTCCACGCCGTGCAGGCGCAGGATCTGCACGACAGCGTTGCTGAAGCCGCAGAGCGGCTGCTCCGGGCTGCCCTTCATGAACACCACCACCGGGTGCTCCCGCACCAGCCGGTCTATCGCCTCCCGCGACCCTGAGCCGCCGCCGCTCCCCTCGGCGGCGGCACCGCCGCCACCCTCCCCGGCTGCCTGGCTCAGCGGGCGCCCAGCCCTGCCCCGCACGGCGGCGGCCCCCAGCCGCCAAGCCGCACGCATCACCCCCCTCATGCTGCGCAGCCTCCCACCCGCTCCCACGGCCGACCGCAAATCAGCGTCACCGCCTATTGGCAGAGAGCAGAAAAAGTCGCGAGCGGGAGCGCCTCCTACACATAGGCTTAGTCACCTGCCAATCAACACTTACAGCCAGTTGCGTGAAGACACAGTGAGCCTCGTCCCACCCAGCAACCCTGCGGCTACCTTGCTTTTCTATTTGTGGAGGCAACCCCGCTGCTGCCGTTCCACTGGGAGGAGGACCTGTCAATCTAACGTGATCTGCTTAATCCCCGCCTCTCGCGGACGTGATTGGTCAGGCTTACCCGGCGCGGTACATTGCTCGGGAAGCTCCGGGGATTTGTGGTGAGTGTGTAGCTCTTTCCGCTTCCGGATAGAGGCTGAGCTCGTGGTGGCGGGGTTTAGCCTCCTGGCGGGATGGACGTGTTGCATTCCCGTGCTTTCTACGTAGCTGTCCAGTTCCCCTTTGGTTCCTCTGCCCGCTTCATGGGGTGGCCGGAGCGCAGCCTGAGCCATGCAGTGGGGAAGGGAGAGCAGGGGCGCTTGCCGGGCGGTCGTAGCCGTGCTTCACCGCTGCTTTCGGCACTGGCGTGTGGGCAGAGCCTGGGGGCTCCATGGAGCCGTGAAGGTGGAGTGGTGGGGTTCTGTTTTGGAGTCGGAGGATGTGCTGCTGCCGCCTGCTCCTCCGGTGGGGTTTGGAGCTTTATCCCACCGGCCCTTTGGCGGTGTGGGCGGTAGGGGTGCTCCCTGGGTGAGGATGTTAGCGGGAGTCAAAGCACTGTTGAGCGGCTGAACGGAAGCTGGGTAAAAGAGGATTACAAAGGGACGGGCTACTCTGAGGTATTGGCTGCCTGTGCTGAGTGATGCTCCTTGGTGGTGAAGCGCGTTCAGATCTGCGAGTTGTAGCGGTGGAAGCATGTCCTTAAAAGCGCAGTGCCGCTGAGTCGGCATCTTTTGTTACCGGAGGCAGTGGAGTTTTTAGGTGGGTAGCTGACAAAGTGCGGGTGGGTGTGCTTAGTGACTTTCTTGGCTGTCTTCTCTTGCTCGGGCTTGGTTGGGTTTTAATGTGATTTTTGTGATTAACGTGTTTTTTAATGTTAAGAGGGAGAGATGAGAACAAGACCGATCTAGCTGGCTGTATGTGCAGAGGGATTGGTTCAGTTCATGCTAGCAGATGGCACAGAACTGCCCAGCATCAGCCGGAGAAGTGCTGAATTTGGAACGTGTCCACCTAACTTTATGCTCCTGAGCAGATGTCGTATTCTTTCCAAGAATTTGGAGCAGAGCATGGAGTCTCCTGCACCAGCCAGGTCCATCCTGTAAGTAGAAGAAAATATTGAAAGATTTTCCTCTGTGCTAAACCACAGTCTTGCAAATAACAAAAGTGTATTTCTGAGTATTAATCCACATTGCAGCTCAAGGACCTGGCCTTTTGGTATATTTAATGGCCATTTGTATTACTTGCATTTGTAAGGAAAATCTTTTTTCCACCCAGCTCTGCTCACGTGAGAGCTTTACAAATGAAGCTAGTTTGTTTTCAGCGTTCAGAAGGCTGTTCTCTAGTTTGTGATTTTTGTGGAATCCAGGTGATGCTTGAGTGACAACTTGGGTTTCGTTTTCTGTGAAACCACTTTCAGGCATGACTTTTGTTGTTGTTCTTTATTTGAATTTAATTAGAACATATTCCATGGGAAATTGTGGCAAACTTTCAGTTTGTCATCCCATGTGAATAGTTTCTGAATAAAAAAGTGTTGCTGTAGTATTTGAAAGTATATCTGATGACAAAGAAATCCTTCTGTTATGAATCTAAAGGTAAAGTTCACGTACTATTGATGAGCATTGTGCATTTTGTGCATTAGTGTGATTTGTTTTCAACAGAACATCGGAAGTCAGGCATAGTCACGGTGATCAAGCCACAAAGAAATTACTGTTTTCTGTGGTTTATATGTTGTAATTAATATGGTGCAAAATTGCGCAATACGAAGAAACTAATCCAGTATCCAGTTCATGCCAGAGAAAACTTCAGTATATTCTGCAAGGGAAGAATATGCCTTTCTATTTGTTGAACTGTTGTGATATACGAAGACAGATGCTTAACAAGTGTTAAGCACAAGTGGCCTAGTTTGTAATTTTCATCTAACAGAAATGCTCCTGCCAGTTTAAAATCCTGGGGAGTCAGAGCAGAATGAAATGAAAATTGAGTGAAAAGGAAGAATTTTTTTCTATTCTTAAAAGCACCTAAATGTCTTTTTTCAAAATAATGTTGGGCTGTAAAAAGAACTTTGCATTACTTGCCTTCCTTAATTTTATTCTATTTCTATAAGAACATGGTTCTTTATAAGTAAAATAAGGACATTAAACTGAAGTGAAATAAACCCTTATGATATGCTCCTTCTAGAATAACATAACCATAGTTGTCGTTTCAGACTCTGTAGTCTAAGAGGTGCCCTTAGTTGTTAGTACTCTGGGCATACCAGGATTGCAGAGAGAGCACCTGTGTGAGGAAGCCGAGGCATGCCTGTAAGAGTCGCAGCAGCAACATGCGCAATATTCCTCTAACATCACAATTCTGTTGCCACGGAGATAATGACTTATCCCATGTCATTATTGATCTATCAACAGTAAGAGCAATTTTGCAGTCTGATATTGTTTAGCAAACTAGAAACAATTGCTGAACACTGAAAAACTGCTATAAATGTTAGAAAGCTACTCAAGTCTGTATATGGGGTTAAATAAAAGTATTTGAATTTACAGTTAATTGCTGTAGTTTCATGAGACTGGCCTGTGAGAGAATATATTTAATACGGTCAAATGCTTTTGGAGTATGCAGCATTCTGCTGGTGGATAAACACTTTTCCTGCTTATAAGACCTAGAACAATTAGTCCATGTACACACGAGAACCAAAGAGATCATTATTTGTTACCTCGTCCAGTCTTCTATCAGTCTAAGTAAAACTTGTTATATTTTCCAGATAATGATTTAAGTCAACTGTTCAGAAGAAATATTAATGGGACTCCTATAAGACTCCTGACATTTTGCTGATGTTCCTGTTAGAAGACCTATCACCTCATTTTAAAAACAGTAATAAAAATGTCAGTATTCAAACTGCAGGGCTAAAATGCTAACAGTCACACATTAGGCTAGTTCCAGGCATTCTACTGGTGAACAGAACTACTAGTTATGAATTGGTGGTTTGAGGTTCTTGTACAGTGCACAAGAAGGCAGGCATCTAAGAATTATACTGTCAGCAGAAAGATTCTTGTTTACTTTGCTTTTAAAAATGGGAGGGCTAACTTAGCTGATGAGAAAGATGAGAAGTCCCATTTCACCGTATCAGAACAGGACACCTCTTTGTGTCCAAGTCAGATATCTGTCTGTCTTTCTGACTTGTTACAGTGCCTGGAAATGAAGTCCCTTATTGTGCCTTAACAATTGAGCTCTCCTTGGGTGCATTTATTGTCTTTTGAAGCTTTTTAGTGGTATGGCTGCAGCTGTTCTGCATGCCAGGTCAATAATTTCCAGGCAACACCTGGCAGCACCAATATATCCTCAATTTTGAAAGCATTAAGAATGCTTAAAATGTACTTACAATGCTGGACTGCACAGTTAAAATTTGTGTGGGATGCCTAAATTGTGAACACTGAAGAAATGCCTGTGGAAAGTTCCTAGTTATTTTGAAGATGTGCTAGTTTGAGAAGTAGTGCAACAAGCAGCAGAAATGTAGAAGTGATGCAGGGCTTTTACTGGCATAGAAGCTCAGGTCCTAGGGGAAACTGATGTTTTGGAATCTGAGCTGTATCTAACTTCCAGTTTTGGATCTCACTTGGAGACATATAAGCAAATTTGTTTCTAAACTAGATGGGTAGTAATATTTCTAGATTTACAGCAGATTCCCAAGAGGGTGTTTGCATTAACTTTAAGATACAACAGGTGAAGAATATGTACAAAGTAACCTAAGTCAGTTTAACTGATGGGTGATCTACATGATCTAAGGCAGTTCTTTGACCTGGATCATGTAAGGATGCCTTTGGCAGAAAGAGGCCATGCTCACAATAATCAAAGGAAAAATGTGAGCCCCACACTTACCGAATAGAATGAAAGATCACACTAAAGTTTGAACATGGACCTTTAAACAAGACACTCTCCAAGCTTGTTTCTCATTAAGAGATTCCATATATGCCTTTCTGTAGTAACACTCTGCTTTGTCAATTGTGAAGCTGTCCTGGAACCAGGACATCTATGAACATTGTAATAGAGTAGAATTATTATTTGGGATAAACAGGGTGCTTACAACTATTCTGACTGACCAGAATCTTAGATCCTTATTCCTTACTTGCAGATGGTAGTGGTGCTTAAGTTTTTCAGTATTCCAGGGGAAGCATAATTTTATATACTTTTATGCTGAGCTGAAAAATATTACATTTAATGAAAATACCTCTTGCCTCTTTTTACCCAGGAGCTGTGAATGTCAAAATCTTTTATGGCCCTAAAAAAGCCTGGGCAAAGTCAAGAAATAAAATTGATCTGCTAAATATACAGATACTGTTATGGGATCAAGTATTAAGCCATAGAAAGCTAGGGACCAGGATTATAACCGTATGCATGTCCTGTTCCTTGCTTCATGTGCATTCATGTTTGACCAGTATAACAGAAACAGGATCCTGGGTTCTGATTTAACATAGTATGGTAATTTGGACAATTTTTAATTTATTTAAAACATGGGAAATGACTTATGGTCTTTCATAACTGTGAGGAAAACCGCAGGGCACACTTGGCCTGTGAAAAAGATTCTTGTGCCCTGTTATGTTCTACTGGCATACTCTTGTGTATAGCTAGGATGGCAAGAGTGCTTTTGTCGGCTTAGCTTGTTTTAAGAATGTGCAGTTGCAGTGGGGCAAGAAAAGCTCTGATTAGCGGGTGTTTTGTGCCCAAGAGGGGACTCCCACAGCTCAGGTGTGTTGGCTGGTGAGCCTGAGTTACCAACCTCACTTAAAACGCCAGGCTGTAGTAA